CACCTAAATACTCATAATTTTAAACAACGTAAGATATTTTTTTCTAATTTTTTTTTCAGGACAGGTGAGGTCAACACTAGCACCCGATTCGCCTGACAAAGTCATGCCGAGGTTAGTCAAGGGCTCATGACGAGGTTAGTTAACGTTTTTTAACCGTTTTGGCTTTTAGTAGCATGCATTTAAATTTATGAACAAAGTATTTTTCCATACTGCATTTAATCCGTACACACTTGCGTTGACATACACTTGATACTCACATTTTTAGTAAAAACAATTCTTTGATCCTTGCACTTTAGCGCACGCACAATAATTTTTTTAAACAATTCCTTTTCAAAATTTTTGGAACACGTACACAAATCACTTGTATTTTTTTGACTTTTATTTACTCCAACGTGCGCCAGGTATTTTCCTCATCGAAAACATCACGAATTTGAATGAACCGTGAATGAGTGACTCACCGCGGAGTCGCCTACGCTTTCCACGAACCGAGACGTAGGCGGTCGTTCGGCCGCGATCGAACACTTGTTGTGTCGCGGAACACTACGCGGAGTGCAATACTGCTACGTAAAATTCAGCTACGAAGGAGGGGACTCGAACCCGTGCGCTCGCTTCGGAAGTGCGCCGATGACTGAATGTTGCTCAGGCGCACCGGACTACCTGGAGAGCGAAGGAAGGAATGGTTCGCAAACTGTGAACTGCCGAAAATACAGACGCCGCGGTCTTTTATAAACAAGAACCTAACTAGTGGTGTATGGCATCGTGCTTTAAGGCAAATTGCTGGAACTTAATCAAAAATTCCAAATTCGTACCAAAAATTAATTTTTATTAAAGAAGATTCAAGATTTTTTAAATTGGAAAAAAATAAATTTTTGACAATTTTGTAATTCTTGTAAATAATTTGACTTTTTTTATTAAATATTTAAATTGAATTTTTTTTTAAGTTTGAACTTTTTAACTTCCCGTAGGGCAAGTTATAGTAATCGCAAAAAAATCGAAAATAAAAATTTTTGCATTTCTCGACATTTCAAAGGTTTCTGAATATTTTGGCATACCTTAGAAAAAATGAATGTGTGTGTATGTGTGTATGTATGTACGGATACAAATTTTCGTCGACGATTTCGGGAACCGATCAACCGATTTGAATAATTCAAAGAACATTCGATTTGTATCGATAAGGAGACGTGCTGATTAGTTTTTGGCGAAGGCAGGTCTAGCCGTTCCGAAGATACGGGGCAAAAAGTGCCAAAAACGGTAACTCAGTTTTTAAGAGAACGGAGCGTCCGATTTTAATAATTTAAAAAACATTTTACTTGTATTGACAAGGTGAAGAACCGATCAAATTTTCATAAAGGCAGATTTAGCGGTTTTGAAGAGCTAATGAAAAAAGTAAAAAAAAAAGTCATTTGGCGGTCACATATGCACATCAAATTATCAGATATTTTATAGAGATTTTAACAATAAGTATAAATTTGGTTTACATTCCTATGGGTTCCGTACCAATGTTTACGCGTTGGACGGCGACGCGGCGCTTACGCGCTTTGATATTTCGTCTTTATGCAGTTAAAGCAGTTCGATTGCTTTGAAAAAAAGTTTAGATCTTCCAAAATATGTCAAAATAAAGAAAAAAAATTTTTTTTTTCAAAAAAAAATTGAAAAAAAAAAAAGATTTTTTTATTTTAAAAGTAATTTTTTGTCCAATGTATAGTTTCTCAAACATCTTATTTTTTCGAAGTAAAATTTTTTCAAAAATGTTAATTATTTTTAAAAAAATAATAATTTTTGGTACGGGAAGTTCCAGCAATTTGCCTCAAGGCACGATGCCTTAAGACAGAATTCCACTTACAGCTAGTTTTCAAAGCAATCGCGCTACGTCAACTGGGTATACATAAATTATCGAATGTCCAGAAACCTTTGAAACAAAAAGATATATACAAAATTTATGTTAGATTTTTTGCGATGGTTTACCATTAGTAATACCATAGTAATGGGTTTACCATTACTTCTCAAATTTTCTTCAGCTTTAGAAAAATATAGAGTAGAGCGAGGCTTAAAAGTCGGTACGTGAAAAGGTCTACCTGCCAATATCTCAAAAATAAGTAAAGTTAAGTTTTTTTTAACAACAATGTGTGAAGTAAAGAGGAAAAATGTATAATTAGCCATCGTCTTAAATCAAGTGATGTCATATCAAGAGATAAACGATTGAATATTATAACTAATATTTCGTAAAATCCTTTGAAAATTCCATTGGCTGTTCTATTTTACTCCGTCTTTATTGTGAAAAGAGGCAGATGACAAGGTTTTGAAAAATAGTAAAAAAAACTTTTCTATAATTAGGAATTAACTGGAAAATTTACTGAAGATAATACGCTAGTTGTTTGTTTTGTACCTAAAATATGTTGTAATGTAGTTCATTTGGTTTAGACAGCATAATTATTTAAAATCAAATTGAACTTTTGTGCCCCGCCCTACCCTATCGCATCTAATGTGTCAATTTGAAATCGAAACTTGTCACTGCATTATTTGCCAGGCACTTATTAATAATATTCATAATTTTTAAAATGTAAATTCACGACTATAATACAGAAAGGTTATCACTCATCTTTGCATATTTGCATTTGGGAAATATCTCTTTCGTATCGAATAATTCTATATAAGCATATTCCTCCATATTTGAAAGATTGTTAGAACTTTATTAACAAGTACTAGCGGAGTGTCAATTTTAGTCCAAATAAAAATTCGAAACAATCAGGGACAGAAGCCTGTATCTTTAAAAAATAACGCTTCTAAAAAAACCTGGGACGAAAGTGAAAATCTAGGATTGTCCCGGTCAATCCGAAACGTATGGCCTTCTTACTAATAGCATTTAGTTTTTTTTCTGAATTAAAACGAAAAAAAAATTTTTTAAAATATAAGTTTTATTAAATGTGATAATTATGATAACTTTTAATAAAAAAATATTGCGTGTCAATTTTATATGAAAGTTTTCACACGTTGGTCCCCAAAGTTTCTGTATATATATTTTTTTTTTTTGAAAATCACTAATATTAGTCTAAAATTGTCACCAACTATTTATAACACAAATATAAAGTTAAAATATTTGTAAAAAAATCTTATAATTTTATATGCATATATCAAATAATCATTTTATCCTATATTACCAAATCGCCGAGACGACAGCGACTTCACACCAGTACGAATCCAATGATTTTCGAATCAATCAAATCCGTTAATGCGTTCTCCCGAAAATGTGGCCGAAAATTTGTATCCAAACTTACATATCTATATACACACATGAAATCATACATACTGATAACGCCCCCAGACATGCATCAATTTTCTCTAAAGGTTAGAGAATATAACAAAAAAAAATTGAATTTTTTTCAAGTTCTATAACTCATTCTATGGAAAGTTCAAATGTTGTTTTTTTAAACGCAGTAATATTTATAGATTTTAGTATTGATAAAAAAATTTGGAACTAATATGTATGTTAGTACATCAAAGTTCATATAACAAAAGGTTATATAAAAAGTATTTGATAAAAACAAATTGTGATATTGCTTTTATAAGATATAAATATTTATAAAATGTCAATGAAGACATCTTGAATATCGTTGTAGGATATAAAAATAGCAAGAAAAATATTTTCTTACAGGCACAACGTTTTACATATAATTTGATATTTATATTAGAGAAAACGGTTAGGACATACAGTGCTTCTAAAGTTGTTCAAATACTTTACAACATTATTACAAAAAATCTGCTGGAAATTAATTGTTAGAGAATATTATTGATGTTACTTACTTTTATCTAGATAATCCGCCTAACTACATATGTGCATCATAAGTAACAATTATTCTAAAATGCAATTCTAACTGATGCATTACACGTTGTGGTAAACCAATGACTATTTACAACTTTATAGCTTATTTAATAAAGATACTTTTATCTATAAATAACATCTATTACCTTATCTTTTCACGTTTTTTTACATGTTCTCTTTTTTATATATAATATCTGTAGGAACTGGCAAATGTCCAAAATAATAGCTTAATATTTTTAGTATAGATTAAATGAATAATAAAATACAAATCAAAAGTTCTTTCACATTTAACATAAATCAAGTTTTATCGATTTTTAACCAGACATTTCAAAGTTTAAATTTTCAATTACACATGCTGCATATTATACTTGGTGTGAGAAATTTTCACAATAAAAAAGAATGAGTCGAATAATTAGATGTATGTTTCAAAAATAACAGAAAATTGTATAAAATGCATTGTTATTCAATATTTCCCTTTGAATTCTCAAATCGGTTAGATATACCTCTCCCAAAATCCAATTAGTGTTTTTAAACCAATCAAATTTATCAGTACGATTATAATAATTTCTGAATTACTCAAAATCAATGCATTGTATTGTACTGTTTATCCAGTTTCCTTTAAGAGTGACACAGAAATAGTTTTCAAATATACGTACATGTGTAAGTATAGAATTATATTTTTTCGTATACATGTAGTGCTCGCTCCTAAGGTAGCCAAAATTGACATAAAGTCCTATATAATTCTAATTATATATAAATTTAGTATTTTTTAAAATTAATACGCATTCTGAATTAGTGAAATACTATTGAAAAGTGCTTTTTCTATTCAAAAATTGAAAAATTTTCACGTAAAGTCAAAATAGTCAAAAAGCACATTTCAAAAACCTTTACGGCCAAATTCAGTTAAAATGAATCATGCATATTGTTAAAATCTTGACAAAAAATCTAAAAAAAAGTATTTGCATGACTCAAATTCAATCGTTAACTAATTTTCCTTCAAAATGTTTTTAAAAATATTAGCATCACAAATAAATATCAATGCTATTCAATATCAAAACCAAGTAGGTGGTATACTAAATATAAGCGTTCAATTGAATAAAACAAAATATTGCCAAAGTTTATAAATAAAAAAATGATCTTAAATTATAATCGATAAAAAATTGATTATTAATAGCCTAAAATGAATTTTCCCGGTCATGATTGTGAACTGGTCGAGCCGTCTTTTTCCGAAGCAGTTACATCGAATCTTACATTGTATCATCAAAAAGTAGGTCGATTCTCGCAATGGTTTCGAATGCAAACTACTATTTCACCCACAGTTCCAAATACAATTTACAGAAGCTACAAAGCACACATCAAGACCGCTAGGGTCCAGTTGTCTCAGAAGTACTGGTATATGATTCATCCATTTAGCAATTTCAGATGGCATTGGAATCAAATCATGTCAGTGGTTTACATAGTAGCTTATTTCAACATACCTCTTCAAATTATCAATCGGCAGATGTCGCACACCAACATCATACAAATACTTGTAGATCTTCTCTGTTTAACCGATATTGTCATGAATTTTCATACAGGGTTTGTCTATGAAGAAACTAATCAAGTTATAATCCATCGTGGTTTAGTTGCCAAACGTTATTTTGGAACTTATTTTTTTGTTGATTTGCTGAGTAGTATACCGACGTTGGCTACAGAATATACAGCGTCATACGATATGTTCTATATAGATGTTCTAAAAATTCTCAAAGTGTTTCGCATAAAAACATTATCAAACTACCTGAATTCTACAATTATGAAGACGAGACTGGTTTACAACTACACATTCGTAACATTCAGTAAGTTGGCTGTGCAAGCAATTTTCATGTTACATTGGCTTAGCTGCGCATTGATAATTGTGCCTCTAATCCAAGTTCATTATAATGAACAATACATAGCAACATGGATGGGAGATGAAGTAATAAAGCAAGCCGAAGAAGGAAACATAATTCAGTTGTATTTAAACTGCTTTAGAATAACACTTGCTATGATTATAGGAGATTTGAGCTCAGTCAGTCCAGTTATGACGAGCGATGTTATTTTATGCATAATGACAATAATAATCGGGTATGTTTATTTTGCATATGTGCTTGTAATGGTGATCAATTACGTGTTAACAATCAATTCGGCCACGGTCACATATCAAGAAACTATGAATCAGTTGCAAACTTATATGCATCTAAACCACATGCCCGAGCGCATGCAGAGTAAAATTACCACCTACTACGAATATAAATACAACTACAGGTACTTTCCAGAGCATAATATAATGTATATGTTGCCCCAGCATTTAAAAGCAGAGGTTTCTTTACATGCATGTCAAAAATTATTGGAGAGTGTTGAGCTGTTTCACAACTTACCAAAAGAGGTCCTATCCGCTATAACAATTAACATGGAACCAATGATTTTCCTGCCTAATGATGTTTTGGTTCGAGCTGGTAGCCAGGGTACTTGCATGTACTTTTTAGTTTCTGGAACTGTGACCATCATCTCTCCTAATGGAAAGGAAGTTTGTCACCTGCAAGATGGTTCCTATTTTGGCGAAGTGGCACTTCTGAAACGAGACAATAGAAGAGTTGCAAGCGTCATTGCTATTGAATTTTGCGAAGTGTATCGTTTATCAGCACATGATTTTAGGAACAGTGTATTATCACATATCGCACTTGCGGATAAACTAAGAATGGGTGCGTTGGATAGACAAGACTTTACGAGCACTGTTGATAGAATGCGAACGAATATGGTTTAATCAAATTTATTTCTTTCAGTGCAATATAAAATCATTCATAAATCAAATTTGTAAGAACAATAACATACTTGGAATAAATAAGTTTGGGTATTTTTTTATTTCATTTGAATTACAATTAATCTTAATAAAAGACATTCAATAACTGTATATAATTCATATTATATATATATATATATATATATATATATATATATCAAGTGAAAATAATATGTCCGGATTAAAAAGTTTTATTTACTTTATTAACTTGTTGTAGGGTAAGTTATAGTTATTGCAAGAAGTTCAAAATGAAAATTTTTGCATAGACTTCTGAACATTTCAACATATCATAGAAAAAACGGATGTGTGTCTGATCGGATACAAATTTTCGTCGACGATTTCGTGAACATTCGATTAGTATTGACGAGGAGCCGTTCCGAAGATACGGGGCGAAAAGTGCAAAAAATGGAATTTTAATTTTTGAGATAACGGAGCGTCCGGTTTGAATAAATGAAAAAACATTTTATTTGTGTTAACAAAATGAAGAACTGATTTTTGAGAAGGCTGATCTAGTAGTTTCGAAGAAGCAATAAAAAAGGGAAAAAGCCATTTGGCAATCAAAAATAATCATTAGACAAATGCACATTAAATTATCAGATATTTTATAGGGATTTTAAAAATAAGAGTTAGTCTGTGATGGTGCGCTTACGCGCTTCGATATTTCGTCCCCACGATGTTATCGCATCTAGGGTGCGATTACTTTGAAAAAAAAATAAACTTTACAAGATATTATAGAGTATTAAAAAAATCAAATTTTTCAAAAAAAATTGAATCTTTTTAAAAAAAAATTAATTTTTGGTATGAAAAGTAGGGAGAAGTCCCGTAACGCCGGACGGCACCTACCGCCGGACACTCTATTTAACACGTTAAGCGAGAATAAATCTTTTTATTTCAAAATACAAGTGAAAGGGGCGCGGGGGGCACACAGTTGCAGGATCATGCGCCAAGACTCCCCTGTGACGCACAAGACCACGGCGAGAGGAGCCCTTTGCTGTTTTAGGCGCAAAATCATGGTGTCACTTAAATATCAATGGAAGTAATTCTAGTATATTTATGCATTTACATTTGGGTGGCATTCGAAGATTGTTATCCGTAAAATGGTAGAATATTATTATATATTTTAAACAATTTTTGTAGGTACCATCAATTAAACGAGCATGCCTGTCTCTTAGCACCGGACACTAAGTCGTCCCTTAGCGCTGGACAGTAAACAAATTGATATTTCTTGTGAGAATTGACGTAATCTATGCTAATTATTTAATTTTGATCTGTATAAGTTCTAACGGTTACTACATACCCCATTTTCCGTATTTTTTAGTTAAAGAATGAGCTGAGAGCATCGGTGTGGCCCAGCCAAAAGGGTGGATAAATAGTGATTGTTTTTTGCAACATCTATGAATATTTGTCAAACACACATGTGCAGATATTCCAGTGTGTGGTGATGGCTACATATGTGTTCAATGCTGGTTATTTTGAAATGTCCGGTACTAGGTGCCACTTTGTAAAATCATATTTTTTGTTACCAAAGTTTGATTGATAGTATTAATTATTCTTTAGCATATGTTGCGTTTCTGTTAATTTAATTTGATTTCTAACTTTGCTATCTAACATAAGTCATAATTTAATAAACATTTCGTAAAATATTTTTAGATTTATTATAAATAACCTTAGGTGTCCGGCACTCGGGGACTTCCCCCTACCAGAAATTTACCTTAAGACACAATGTCATGCACCACTAGTTAATCGACTGTTACTAAAGTCAAATTTCAGCTACTGTTCTGTTGATCAATTTATAAGTATCTAATATATATTTACAAGACGAGATTTTCCAGCAATTGTCATAAAGGCGCAACACCATACCTCACTAATTAAATTTTACATTATAGAGATGTCGGTGTATTCATTTTCGCGTTCAACATCCAACGTTATCGCATGGCATGTTGTGACTGTTACATGAATTCACTCCGTCGACGAGACGCATTTTATGTAGACTTGTCCTAAATTCGTTGTCATGTAAGCAAGATGGATTGTTCAGAAGCGAAACAAAGAAAATCAGCGATGCATAGGTAATGCATAGGTGTATTGTGACGTGACAATGAATGCACGCGACTGCACTACCGGCAGCAGATGCGCTCGGCTTTGACAGTATTATAAATTGATATGGGCGCGCTTGCATAAGATCAAAAGAATTTGACGTCGCTCTCATCGCGACCGCTGAATTCCTCTTTACCTATGCACGGGCCAGGGGCATCATATTCTATGAAGGTCCGAGCTTCAACGTGCCTATCGGGAAATTGATCGCGATATCTAAACGAATATCATATGTCTATATACATATATGTAACCTGAAGATAACAACATATATATGTAAAGTAAAATCAAGTAAGATGGGTAAAATAATGTATAAAAGTAAGTGAGTAGAATTAGGTAGGATTAAAAGAATAAAATTGAATATGTATTAATTATGATAACAGTAGTCATTAGAAAATATAAAAATAACATCAATTTAAACAAATATGATTATAAAAACCAATAAAATTCTAATTAAGTCGAATCATTCTGTGCTTGCAGTGTTCTGCCTTTATCAAAATGGCATCTAATGTTTCGCATTTTTTCCTGCGTATTTTAAAAATTCAAACTCCTTTTAAAATAAAGATCATTTGTATTAAAGTGATCCCAAATTTCTTTCTTAGTAATCCAAGGTATTGACAAACACAATTGAAATCCTTTTGCCCAGAAGTATTTTCTTTCGCTGTTAGTTTTTTTTTTGGATGAGAGCACTGTTGTTTTATTTACGAGACCTAAATATATTTTTCAAGTATATTTTATTCAATTGTTTTATAAGATGTATTGTTAATTTATGAGATTCAACAGCTTTTTTATATAGCCTCTATGAAAGCTTACAACGTGGGGGGCGTGTAAAGAAAAACAATTGCAGCATTACCCTCGGTAAACAATAAAAATAGTGAATACAGAAGAAAATTAAGTTCAGAAAAGTAATTTTACAAGAGATAAATAAAAGTCATAGTTATTCCAACTCTGCTGATGAATAATTCTGACAAACTACCAGATCAGGGTTATATATAGAGCTATATATTTACAAAATGTACTCCAAAAATTTATATTTTGCATTGGTTGAATAGTATAGCTATTATTTTGTAGAATCCCTCTAAAATTAAAAATGAAACATTGGACCTGTTTGCGCCTTGGTTGTCCCATTTCACATTGCCTATGGGGTAAAAAGGAGCAGTTTTACTGAACATAGTCAGATAGTTATTTGTTTGATACCTATTATTTAGTACAATATAATTGGTTTGGTTTTCACAAAATAATTGTTCAAAGTAAAATTGTGCCTTTGTGGTTCGCGCTACACTATAGGTAGATATAAAAAAAAATTCAAAAGAAAGTGAACAGGTAAAAATACTGTTCAGCAGAGATGATAAAAAAAAAGTAAAATTGAAAGTTAGCAAAGACGATAGTGAGAAAGTAAAATTCAAAAAGTAATTTGCGTTTATTAGCCATCAATTGATTTACATTCTTATTTAAATTTGTGATGATACATGTTCTGTCATACTATCATATAAACTGAGTATGATGAAACCTTGAATAGGCAATTAAATTTGGAAAACTACAGAAACTATTAAATATAGAACTATATATAATGACACGCGGATAATCGAGCACTAATGCAGATAATCTTATTTATCACAAATGAGCATTTATCTATCAACCGTTCACGATACATCAAAGTTATTAAGTATTCTGTTTACATCCATGCGACCGTATAAAACTTTCGTATTTTCGGCAAAATTGTGGGAAATAACTCGGCGAACTTTTCCGCCTTATCTCGGTGTCTTATCAAACGCTTCTACGTAATATCTGACGTTGGCAGAAAAATAGAAGTTACGCAATGCAAACTATGTCGCTTTATGACCTTATACAGATTTCGGTAAGGAGTTTACGCGATATTGGATCATCATGTATGAGATGCTGAGCTGGATAAACTCATTCTACTCTCGACTACTCTCGTATATCTATAGCCGAAAGTAATCTTTTCGTCTTCATATTTCTGTGATGGCACAGGAACTAGAAGCTCAAGAAAATCTTGCAGAGGCTAACACCACTCGTATTACGTGTAAGAGATTTATATTGGGGTACCCAAAAATTTTGCATGCGGAAAGTTGAAAATCATACTCTTTTTCATATTTACTTATCGCTATCACACGAACTAGTAAACTCAGAACTATCCCTACGAGGTTATTCAGAATATTTTATCTCATTCTTGAAAAATCAATATCCGAATATTTATTATATATTAATACATTATTCAAATAAAAATTATATATTCAAAAGGTGCTCGCGGTGAAATGTTACATTATACTCTCACGTGAGAAAATATTTGAATTTAAAAATACGAGTATTCTTGGCATCATATTCTAAAAAATATGATCGTAAAAAGCGTTTTTTAAAAATATCATCTTTGGTTACAGAGCTACATGTTCATACGTTTTTCAATTAGCTATTCCAAATGCAAATAGCAACGATAATAATATGCTACCAGAAAATCTAATGACTACAAAGGTATAACCATTAGAAACCCACCTGTTTATAGACCATACAATTATAAATCATAATCGTGATTTTTACCATTTTTTTTCATTTCAGTTCATAATTCACATACAGTGATACCCCGCTTAGCGCTGTATCGTTTAGTGCCGTTTCTGTTTAGCGCTCTTTTATTTCAACCCAGTTTTTGAAGGAATAAATGTGGAAGATGTCGAAGAAATAATTCAAGAAGCAGCGCAGTCTTTCTCAAGCTCAAGGTATTAACTGAACAAGAGAAAAACAAAAATGTTGACGGCTGTGATTTCGAAGAAGAGCAAAAAGAACTTTCGATGGCGATTGAAAAAAGAAGTTTGTCTACCATAATGGAAATAATGGATCGATTCATTGAAAATGAACCA